ATATTTTCAAATATATTTGCATAGAATATTCAAATATATTTGCAAAGCAGTCTTTTGATCCTTCTAATTTTCTGTAGTTATTGTCCCATTAGCATTTCTCATGTCGTATGTTTTTGATTTCTCCCTTTTCCTTGATTAGATTAAGCAGAAGTTTTTTTTAAATTTATTTTTTCAGAGAGCCAGCTTTGGTTGTATTTATCAGTTCTTTTTTCTGTTTTCTAAATTACTAATTTCAACTTCATTTTTATTATTTGCTTTTCTAACTCCATGAGTGGTATGCTGAATCCATTCAGTTTTACTTTTGTTTATTAATATAATCATATGAGGATGTGAATTTTCATCACTGTAGCTAGATCTCCGGTTCTTAGTGTTGATATATATAATTAGCTGTTGTCATCATTATGATTTTTGGTAGAAAGCCACTAGAGAGTTAAGAAAATAAGTAAATGTGCTTATTTAGGATGGGCCTAAATTAAGAAGGGTTTTAAATGGTAGATGGAAGGCAGAGGACGTTAGACTCAATAAAAATAGTATTAAGAAGCCATTGAAAATCCTTGGTTAGGAAGGTAACAAGATACGTGTTGTTTGGAAACACAAACAGCCTGTAGATTAGCAGTTACCTTATCTACTGCTTTGTCTTTTTCGAAACAATTTTGGATAGGAAATGCCCTTTTCAGCAAAGATAGAAAAATGACATTTAACTATTTTCTTCTCAAAGATATGGCCAAATTTTGTAAGTGAATATCCACCTGGAAGCTTCCACAATCATTCCGAATGCTGTATTTACACTTGGTTGAAATCGTTAAGGTTCCTTTAAATGTGAATTACATCCTAAAGTAATGGGACTGCGAAGTAACCATTCATTTCTACTATGTGTTTTGTGTTATCACTCATTGGGGTGATTTTTGCTGTCAACGCTATCTTATTTCTCTACTAGGTTGCAAATTTCTTATATAAATACAATACTTTTATATTATAGGAGGCCAATTAATATTTGTTACTAATTTATTTTACTGAAAACTACTGCTGTATAATTATAAAATTCTCACAATGAGCATACACATAATTGAAATGCTCCTGAGATTATCATCTACTTTATCGTTTTATTATTCCCAATCATATGGAATATTTTCATTAGTCTCATTATCCTGAGTAAATAGTCTACTTTATCCTGCCTTTTTAATCATTATGACAACTAAATTTGGATGTATACCTACGATCTCTTTTATTTGATTTTTGTGTCAAGGCCTTACACAGTATCCATCTGCTTCTTCTTTCCTGCTGATTTTGCTGGAAGAGGCGATTTGCTATAAAAACTGTATTTTTAGGTTCCTCTGCTGATCAGAGTAGCCATGTACTAAGTTCTGGTCTCTGGATGGAGGTGGAGGTTATTGAGCAGAAAGTTCCTGCTTGGGATCTGGAGGGAAAGGCTGGGGGAAGAGGATTATGTTTCCAGAAAGGATGGTAGACCAGAAAGTTGTGAACAAGACTGGGTACATAATTTGCAGGGCCCAGTGCGAAGTGAAATGCAGGGCTCCTGTTCAGCAATTATTAATACCCTAAAAATGCCAAATAGAGAATTACCCCAGCACTGGATCCACAGGCCACTGGCCCATGAAACTGGCTCTGAGTATGAAGGAACCTGGGGCCGGAGGAGGTCATGTGCCCTCATCCCAGCCCTGGACTGCCAGTCTGTTCTTCTTTTCATAGAGCGCACAAACCTCCTCATTTAAGCGTCTATTGTCTGGGTTTTCATTACATGTGTTCCATGACTGATGCAGGTTATCATTACCCTCATCTGATAGATGGAGAAACGGGCTCAGACAGGGTTAGTGAACTGTGCATGGGAGCAGATTTTGGGGTATTCACAGACTCAGGTTCTGTGAATTTGGGTCGTATATTCTTTCTGGGTCAATGCATCTTTCTTTTTCCACGGAGTTGTTAACAGTCTGCATTTCCTGTTTCTGGCCAGATTTTGCATTTTGCAAATTTGCTTGTCTCACAATGCCCCCGTTTTTGTAGCTTACAGTTGTAGGAGGAAGCACTTCATCCCATTTGTTTTTTTCTCATTTGCATTTAATTTTTACTCTGGAGTGAACAACGCAGAAGTTCAGTCCACATTTAAAATATTGCTAAAAAGTGATTCACTCCCAATTCTAGCAAAATGTTTAAACCTCTGATTCCTCAGTAATTCTCTTTTTGCAGAGGAAGAGTTAAGATTATGTAATTTAATTAAAAAAGAAACTCGAAACATGTGCAATCCCATCTGATGTGAGTTTCTGTCAGACCTTTCAGGAGGGAAGCATGTACTGGCGGTTCTTCCAGTGACATCGCAATCAGAAGAATTTATCTATCAATGTATTCTTTTAATTTAGGAAAAACCTAAGGACAAACAGTGTTTGTAGCTCTTTGCACATTCTATCTGTGGCCATGGGATGCACTGTGGTGATTAGCTATTGTTTGTTTTATTAGTGCTACAAAGCATAGCTGCTACTTCAGCTTCCAAAGGTCCCCAGTGTAACACAGGTGTTGTATTTGTTGTGTTTAAGTTCTGGTGTGGTTTTAGTTTTGCTAAGTTCCCACAAAAGCACCTAACTTTGGTTAACTTCCACACTTCTAGAAAAGTCAACATTTCTAGATCAAGTGTTAATTTCTTTCAGTCCTCAGTAGTGCTGGTGTGTGGATGGGGGACACAGTGTGTCATCGCAGATAATCTGTGTATCATGGGTCATCCACCTCTCCCCCTCTTTACCAGAGAAAAGAGCATTCCCCCTTTTTACCAGAGAAAAGACCTGAATTTAAGTTTAAGCTCCTAGTTAGACCCTGACTTCCAACGTGGTTTTACTATACACTTCGCATGGGTCAGGTGCACCTGTGATTGTCCCATCAGTCATTAGTGTGGGCCCTTAGAAAGTCTATGGAGGACAGAAGTCTGGTGTTCCTGGATCCTTGACTAAAGCACCGTTTTAATGTCATCCAAATCCCACTAGAAGCCCTAGCTGTCTGGTTGCAGTGAAATATTAAAATCATTGGCATATTCAAGGTATCATCTTGAAAAACTTGGTGTTATGGGTTGAATTGTATCTTTCTCCGTCCAAATTCATATGTTGAAATATGAGTCCCCAATATCTCAGAATGTGTCTATATTGGGAGATAGGACCTTTAAAGAGGTAAAATGAGGGTGTTAGGATGGGCCCTCATCTAGTATAACTGGTGTCCTTAGAAGATGGGGAAATTTGGAGACAGACTCATGTAGAGGGAAGATGATGTGGAGAGACACAGGGAGGAGGAGGCCGTGTATGCTAAGGAAGTGCCCTGGAACCATGCTCCCTCACAGCCCCGGAAGGAACCCACACTGCTGAAACTTTGATCTTGGGCTTCTGGATCTTAGAATGTGAGACATACATTTCTGTAGTCTGAGCCACCCAGTCTATGGTACTTTTTATAGCAGCTCTCAAAAACGAATATACTGGGGAGCCAGATAGGAAAACCTATTTGAAAGGCTGATGGACTCGGTAGATAGGAGTGGGGCTACCACACTGTGCAGTATTTGAAATAGTCATCTGTTAGTGTCTGCACCAACTGTTCAAAGACCAACAACAACATTTGCTCGGGCAGGGAGCTCCTAAACATTCGTCAGCAAAATGTGTGTAGAGGACTTCCAGCTTCATTCCACTTTTTTAAAATAAGGAAATTTGGGTTGGGTTTTTGTGACCTGAGTAGGGTCACACGGAGGTCAGGTGAGTGGTAAAGTGGGAATACATTTGCAGCTTCCTGGTTTGTAGTCTTAGTGGTCTATTGATGGGAATTCTCTGACTCTTAGTAAGAAGTGGCTATTATTAGAGGCAGAGGATTATATTCTCACTGCTAAGATACTTAGCATGGTGCCTGGCACGTGGTAGATGCTGAAATTGTAACTATTGCTCTTAGTGACCCACTTGGGAAAAGGGCTGCTTTTCCTAAGTTAGCTGTCAGGTAGGCTCTGTCCCAAGAAATTTATATATGATTGGTGCTTAATAAAGTATTTTTATTTTTTTATTTATTTTAATTTTTTGAGACAGAGTCTCTCACTCTGTCACCCAAGCTGGAGTACAGTAGCATGATCTCGGCTCACTGCAAACTGTGCCTCCTGGAATCAAGTGAATCTCCTGCCTCAGCCTCCCAACTAGCTGAGATTACAGGCACCCACCACCACATCTGGCTAAGTTTTGTATTTTTAGGAGAGACGGGGTTTTACCATGTTGGCCAGGCTGATCTCGAACCCCTGACCTCAGGTGATCTGCCTGCCTCAGCCTCCCAAAGTGCAGGGATTACAGGAATGAGCCACCACACCTGGCCCATCAATAAAGTATTTTTAATATTAGTTCTGGGTGTGCTGTCTTGAGCAGTCTATTTTATAACATTATTAACTTCGTGTAACATTAATGAGAAATCATCTCTGAAAAGACTAGGTTTTCACCATCTGGCAGCTACCCAATACAAAATATTTCTATAACAAATCAAAAGTGTGTATGATATTTTTTTAAAAAAATTGATAAAATAAGGAAAATTGAAGTCCAGTATCTAAGATACTGCATAAAATCTTAATAATTGAGCAGTAAAATTCTAATACATTACAAACATTTGACCATTATGTTTGCCAATAATTAAGCAAACTGAGCATCCTAAGAAGGAGATGAGAAACTGGAAAGTTTAATTCACTAGAAATGAGAAATATTACATTTGTTATATTATGCTGTATTTGTGTACTGAATTTTTTTGGCAGAATGACTGCTTGCTGGAAGAAAATGGCTTAAAGTCGGTATTTTTTTATGGTTTTGCAAATTCTGGAGAACAGGGAGTCTTTCTTCCTAAACTAGATCCCAGTCTTGCTATTAGTCTCAAATAGTGAATATAATATATTCAATGAATGCTTGTTGAGTGAACCAATATGTGAGATTTTCTTGGTGGATTTCTATTAAGCGGGGGAAAGGAGGTAGCATGTCAACAAAAACTGAACATTTTTACTTTCAAATAAGGAAGGCAATTTATTGTAGTGAAATTACATTGAAGTTTTATATATGACCCCCAATGCATATAAAATTATTTACCTCCACACTATTGGATAAGACATCACGAACTACAAGGAATCGCAAAGTGCTAATATTGACGTAATACATTTTCGCTAATTTACCCAAATTTAATTGGATGATTGGATGGACATGTTGAAGTGTTTTTCATATTTTTTGCTATGGTCTCTGCTTTTACTGGAGTTTTCAATGCCTTTGATGACTCCAGACACTCAACTCTGTTCCTCGCAGTCTGTTTCTGTCTTCTATGATGGTGATTAGTTCTTGCAAGGCTGCTTATATATAGTAATGTACAGTTGACTCTGGTATAGAGTAAACTTACATCAGAGATTTAAACATTTCTCCCGAAATGGAGTTTGTGGAAAATGTGAAAATTGGCATGACATTTGAGGCTCCATTAACAAAGCAAAGATGATTTTTAAACACTAACCAAGAGAAAAGTGCCCCAGGAAGCAAGGAACAGCAATGTACTTCACTGCAAGTCCACACATGGGTGCAGGGATTAAGTAGACATTCTTTGCACCTAACGCCTTATCTATAATCATTTTATGCATTTGTTACATATTGCACAAATCCAGGTACACGCAGACTATCTGATCCGCCATGGCCATGGTGTAGCTATCCTCACGGAGGAGGGCTTTGCACAACTTTCTAAAGGAGCTTATTCAAGACCTTTTAAGAACAGAATCTAAAGGCAGTTCTCTACAAGTCTCATATTTACAGATAGCACAAGCTATAGCACGGCACATGGCCCCCCTCCTAAATATACGATTCTTTAGCGTATTGGAATTGGTCAGCCTCAAAGACTGGCTGGCTACATCGTCGCACGAGACAGTCCTGCTTACTCCTCTGCATGGACTCAGAGACGGTCCTCAGCCGGAGGAGCTCAGGTCTCCCTGGGCCAGCCACGTGCCCCAGAGAGTCCACAGAAGCATGGACAGTTCCGCTCTGTGTCCATTGCTCAGGCAGGGTAGAGAGTCCGTGGCCAGGCAGTGGCTCTTTGCTGTCCCTATGTCTTGAGTGCCCTGCGTGGTGAGTAGGTAGAAGAGGGGGTAGGAGGCAGTCCCCCACCAGCATCCTTGCCCTCATGCCCCCCACGGTCATGCTTCCCACGTTCTGGCTCCCATAGGATGCGAGTCGGGCCACCGGGCTCTGCATGGCCTCTTCATAAGAGGGTGGGTGTCCAGGCCTCTCCCAGTCAGCTCCTTGGAACACGTCATCCACCGAGAGGGTGTGGGGTCTCATGCAGAAGCCGAGGGCTGTTTGGTTGTGGGTTTCAGACCCATTTTCCTGCACGATTCGGCCAGCAAGCTGGCTTTCCTTTCTAACACCCCTTGGGACGTGGTCCCTTGTGAAGTCTTGTGATTTCCCAGACCCGGTACTGGTTTTGGTCAGCACTTTTTTGTGAGAGGCAAAGGAGAAAGACATGGAGTGCTTTTTGATTTCTCTGCTGGGCTTGCCTTTTTCTGTCTTTGTGGTGAAAGACTGATGTCTGCTGAAGAAATTTCTTTTGGAACTGGAAGGAGAAGCCACGGGGGAGCTGTCAGAGGACGCGTCCAGCTCGCTGCTGGAGAAGGCTTTGGGAACCAGTGCCCGTGGAAGCACCGACCCCGGGGTCAAGTTCTTGATCTTCAGGTCCACTGGCCTCTTGGTTTTGCCTTGCACTGCAGGGAAGACCTCCTCTGGAAATGGGTCTTCAACCTCCTCACTTTCCAAACGAGAGCCTGCCTGAGGCACGGGGAAGTCCCCTTCACTCTTTGTCAGTGTTTGATTTGTCACCCGGCTCTCGAGGCACTCCTGGGAGGACAGCGTGCTGGGCTCTGAATACCTCCTGTCGGGCTGTGCAAGGGAGCTTTTCAGCCTGGTGATGGTGCTCACGATGGGCTCTGGGCTGACCTCTCGGGCTTCCTGTGGGGTCCTGCTGTCCGAGCCAGCAGCTGTAGCCATGGGCACCTGGGGCTGCCGGCTGGGAGAGCTGATGCCACTGCTGCTGTTGGATTCCACATCAGGATCGTTGCTGTCATAGGCTGAGTCGTTCTGCAGGGTCGACACGTCTGGGGGAAGTCAGAGAGCAGTTGAATATTTGCTCAGGTTTATTTATATTTATATATAATTTTTGAGACAGAGTCTCGCTTTGTCACCCAGGCTAGAGTACAGTGATGTGATCTTGCCTCACTGCAACCTCTGCCTCCTGGGTTCAAGCGATTCTCTTGCCTCAGCCTCCTGAGTAGCTGGGATTACAGGCTCCTGCCACCATGCTTAACTTAAAATATTTTTCTATTTTAAGTAGACATGAGGTTTAACCATGTTGGCCAGGCTGGTTTTGAACTGCCAACCTCAGGTGATCCACCTGCCTTGGCCTCCCAAAGTGCTGGGATTACACGTGTGAGCCACTGTGCCCGTCCATTCAGGTTCTTTCAGAAATGAACTTTGCTTACAGTTTGCCCTGCTCATACTAATCAGGGCATCAGGTGATTTATTAGTGGAACTACTTAGAGGCTTCTATGACAAGAAATATACCACATGAAAGGTTTTCTTTCTGAATTTATTTTGAGATCAGAAGAAAAATAGGGAAAGGAAATGAGTAAAAGAGGGAGGAAAGCGGTGGAGGGGGGAGACAGAGAGAGACAGAGAGAGGAAGAATAAGAGAGAACAGCATTTCACTGAAAATTTATTGATTTTAATTTTTAAAACTGCTCCTGGCCACATTTCCATTGTAATGGGGTCATAGCCCACGAAGTGGAAACAAAAGTTTCTCACCCCAACTCTAGAGCTAAAGGTAGCGTCAGGAAATCAGCAGTGATTTGCGAACTACACTAGGAAGCGGGAGAGTGTGGTCCGAGGATGTGCGCAGGAAAAGCCTGGGGCACGGTTTTCATGTTAAACGACTTCCTAACGAATGGAGTCTAGTCTGACTTGGTGATTTGTGAAGGTAATTTCTGCCTCAAATACCAGAGATGCTTTATGTGACTGACAGACTGGCACAAACTTTTCCCTACAATTGTAATCAAATGATAGCACATTCCATACCTGAACTATCTGTGTGTTCCAGGGAGTCATCAGAAGTGATACTGGAATGCACTGGAATGTTCTCCCCGAATATTTCAAAACAGTTATCGATGAGGAATTCCACCAATGTCTTCACCTGGAAGGAAAAGTAAGTAGTTTGTCAGCTTGAAGGCTTTTTTCTTCTTTACTTTTTTTTTTCTTTTTAGGGAGATGAGGAAGGATGGGGGCACAGTGGGGTCAGGTGCCAAAATGAGAATTCAAGATCTTTATGTGTCTGAAAAGGGCAAACAGAAATTTGGTCACAGTCATATACTTTTTTTTTTGAGACATGCTCTACCTCTGTTGCCAGGCTGGAGTGCAGTGGCACAATCTTTGCCTACTGAAACCTCTGCCTCCCGGGCTGAAGTGATTCTCCTGCCTCAGCCTTTCAAGTAGCTGGGAGACGGGCACGTGCCACCATGCCCGGCTAATTTTTTGTATTTTTAGTGGAGACAGGGTTTTGTCATGTTGCCCAGGCTGGTCTCGAGCTCCTGAGCTCAGGCAATTTGCCTGCCTTGGCCTCCCAAAGTGCTGGGATTACAGGCGTGAGCCACCGTGCCAACAATCACATATGTTAAAGTTAGATACTACTTGGTGTTTGAGACATGCATTTTAAATTTAAGAACTTAAAAAAAATTTGTTTTAAAGTATTAATAAAAGTTTCATTTAAGTAGGTGGTTTCCCAAATTGATAAACTGATAGACTATAGTGTACAAAACACACAAAAAAAGGGCTTTTCTATGGGGAGATACAGATGTAAACACTTGCAGTACTCATCTGTCTCACAGATGACAGAAGACAGAGATTCACTCAGTTTCATTAGATAATGCATCTGAGAGAGTGGAGCTATGACAAAAGCACTTTGCATTTTATATCTTCACTGTGGTGCTGAGTCAGCTGGAGAAATTCAGAAGCAGTTCACTGCTTGGCTTTTGCAAACAGACGGTGAGATCGTAAGTTGGGGATTTCTGATCAGTGAGCAGGACAAACCTTGTTGTTCAGGTCCTTCTGGGCTTCAAACGACAGACTCTGGTCATTCTCCAGGGTGAGCATGTTGGGTCCAATGCAGATGGCCAGGTTGCTGGAGTCCATCCTGCTGACCTCGGAGTTCTTGCTGATGAGGTGCAGCACATAGACCAAGTGCTTGAGCAGCAGGAGGTTGGGCCTGGGGAGCTTATCTGCAACCCTGGAATAAAGTCAAGGGATGTTAGTTTTCAAAAAGGCGAATGGTCTTCAGTGTGGCAAGCTGAAAGTTTCTGCCAAAACCAGACTTCCTTTAAAATGAGGAAGGTGCATTTTCACAAGTAATATTGTGAAATGCTCATTCAGATACTTCCACTGGCAACTGACACAGAGTGAGACTGGTTAACCACAGGTCTCAAAGAGCTGAGAAACTGGCCTTTATAACTGGGACACCAACAAAACAGCCCTTTATTATTGATACAGAGCTTAAATGGTGAAGTCTACATTAAACACAATTGTTTGCCTTTACATTTAGAAAATAGTTTTGTTGAGTAATCATTTAGCCATGTAGAATTTATTTCTGTTTCTAACACTGCTAGACTGGTTTTCTTGCCTTAAAACAAACAAACAAACCAACCAACCAACCAACCTATAATCAATCACCAAACAAAGATGACACATTTTTACAACATTCTGAGAAATCTTTATGAAGGCGAAATCAATTTCTAAGGGCCTGTTCATAATAAGGCGGCACTTAAATCGCAACATTGTTTCTCACCATAAGAAATTAGACTTCTTAATGTCTCACTTTCTCAAAAAATGAAATGGTGATCATTTTCATTTATCAGAAGTAGGAATTGTTATCAAAATGCCTTATGTCTAGATAGAAACTCATTGTGATACTCTAAGGATTTTCATTTTTGGGACAGACATTCTAACGTCTTCAGTTCTAAACAATTGTAACATATAGGTAGACTTTCATAGGATGTGACAACAGTGTTGACATTTCAAAGCCGGGGTTTTAGAATTCTCTAGTCACTAACAGATCACACTTTCCATTGCATATGTTATTATTTTTACTCTCACTGGAATTTGTTCTTATATGGTTTTCATTTTGTGTTATTGTAAGAAGATAAAATATGCTTTGAAATTTTATGAACAAAACAATCCCTCCACCCCTGCCCCAGATTGCCTGGCCGCATCCTAAGGGATGTTATACGGAAGAACTGATGGCTTGCATGACACCAGTCAATGTAGCTTAAAGATAATCCCAAATTCCTACACTTCGCTGATTAGCCTCTGTTAAAGTTTCAGGTCTGATTTGATCTCATGCCTTTTTGAACATCTTACATTTTTAGACTTCCCTACCTCTGGGATTTGTGAGTACTGAAGTTCACTTTCTACTTTTTGAAGAAAGATTTCCTTTCATTTGGCTAAAATTAAAATTTAAAAGTCCAGAGCACCCCCTGGTTTTTATTCTTGGAGTGGATGAGCAATTCTACTCGGATTCCCTAAACATCACAATTCTTGTGAAACAGGGATCAGGAAGCATTTAGACAGTTGTATAAAGAATCAAAAGACAGAGGCGATGAGGACCTGGCAGTCTCTGGTGACTTTGATGACTTACTCTTTCAGGGCCTCGATTCTGTCCTCCTCGTCCTGCGTGTCCAAAGCGCCCATCCACTCCTCAAAGAGGTCGCTTGAAAGTAGCTTCCGGGGGATCCTTCTGAGGAAGTCCTGGGGGATGAGAGCGGGCTGTTGGCCTATCGGTACTGTATGATGTCCCATGTCCTCATTTTCACCTGGTTTTTGTTCCATCGCAGGGTGCTGTATGCTTAGCCTATCATAGATTGTGCCCCTTCCTTCCTGCATTTGATTAATCCAGGGGACCCTCTCTCCAACTCCCCTGGCCTCTCTGCAACTTTCTAACATCAAGCAGAGTCAGAGGCACCATCCCCAGGTGGGTGTGTTCTGAGGGGCCACTGGATTTTGGCATATGGATTCTGCCATGGGACAAGCAAACTGCCCTTACTTGGTGAAGTTTTGGGAGAGCAGAATGCTTCACTTTCTGTTTGAATCTGAGGTCACAGAAACAGAGGTACTAAAAAAATAAATAAAGGGCTTAATGAAAATAATTAAACTCCCATATCAGTGTACCTTGCTGTGTGGGGAGAAGAGCCTATTTCTTGCATCCTGAGAACTAGCATGTCAGGGCAAATAACCGTGGCAGGTTATTTGGTGCCGAGTGTGTTGAACTCACCTTAAAGACCACAGCGAGGAGGTGAACAGGGAGCCTTTCCAGATCCACTGTGCCCCCGGAGTTGAGCTCCTCCTTCAGCTCCTTGCGGGCTTTCTCATTGGCCGCTTTCCTGAATATCCCTTCGGTTGAAGGGCCTTTAAGGCACAGAATAGTGAGAATGTCCTAAAGGAAACGGGGATAGGAAAAGGAAAGGTTTACTCTTGGTCCGAAGACACACCCTGCGCTGCTGCTAATGGATGAATATCTATGCCTAGGTTGCAGACAGAATTAAAATAATACATGAACAGTCTCCAACTTTACTTGTCATGAAATGTCCTCTCCCTAAAAGTTAGTTATCTTCTCTAGTATACTAAGATAGTCTTAACAGGAATATTAATGTCAGATTTTGCTTTCAGTCCTGTTGCTATCAATGACCTTCCTCAACCCTGCAATTTTTCTAAGAGGTGGCAAATTGTGAAAACTCTAATTTTGCACTTTCTAAAATCACTTTGGACTTCTCTCCTTTAAAATACTTCTATGTGAACACTGGATTTTGGGTCACAAAGTCTATACTCTATCTCCCCCTTTTGGCTTTTCAGAAGCTACAAATCTTCAGCATCCTTCACTTTGTGAAGGCAGAGAAATGGAGGGACCATCGCTCTGAGCTCATTGGTAAATACAGCTGATTTCTGTAACGGAAGCAGTCAGATATTCTTCTGACTGCGTGCGTATGTGGGAGCGCCATGTCCAAGAGGGGAAAATATGGCAGATCAGTCCCTACAAACTCAGTAGGAGAATGATATTCAGATTTCCTAAGTATTTTGCATGTCCAATTGAAGACTGAAGTAGGTTTATGAGATAATGCACACCTACCTGGATGGGCCTGGGGAGTGTGTCACTGTCACCACAAATAATTGACAAGGGCTGATCAAATAGCGATGCTTTCAAGTCGGTTTCCAAAGCCCCAGAAAAGTCAGATGCAGGGGAGAGCCTTCTCATGAGAAAGGGCCAGGAGAGCACCTTCTTTCTCTTCTTAACTTCTACAGCCAAGAAAACAAGGCAATGAGAAAAATTAGATTACAATATTAATATGTAAAGATCCAGGTAAGAAAATGGGTATCGCTGGCCTCATAATGTGGTCTAGAGTATGCCATGTGAGAAAAATAATTTTGAAAACTTGAGAAAGAAAAGGGCATGAATCTTAAACTAGAAAACCAACCGATAAACAACCACACTGTTACCAGGGCAACCAGACCCTAAACATCAACACCAGGGTTCCTCAAAGCCTCCACCTTTCCTGTTTTCACCCGTTCCAGCTGTTTGCAGCAGAAAATTAGCAAAACCTAACTGTGCAGATCATAAACAACCATCTTAAACTACTGGCTGGAATAACTACAGAGGCCATTTCTGATATGAAATAGATTATTTTAATTTCCTCCTTTAATTGGTGAGGAAAACGAAACTTAAAAGGCAAGGAAGTGACTTGCTCAACATCTTTTCGAAGGCGCTTAGCAGGGCTAGCCCCAACCCTCTGCAGCCACGCACGAAACAGCCACTAGAGGGAACTAACACCATTCGTTCATCCAGGTGACTGGTCACCTGGGTTTTCCAGGTTGCTGCTTTAGGACAGAGGCAAATACAAATCGCTGTGGGAAGCCTTGAACCTATACCTGGCAACTGGGAATTATCAGCAAAACGTTTTCAAGATATTCTGTCCTTCCAAAATCCACAAGATGTATGTGCAATGGATATCACATCTCAAAAATTTCCTCTTTTCCTTCCTTCTCCGTTTTTACTAATTATAAAGGCTGTGTTTTTCTAAATGCGTTGGCATATGTTCCTGTACATTTTAGATTGGCAAGTGGAAGCTCGATAAGAAAGAAGTGGCCAGTCTTTACGGTTCAGGAGAACTGGGTCAGGGTTACATGATAATAAAAGGCATTCTGAAAAAAATTGAGAGGAATGGCGGGTCCTTTGGGGTTTGAGATCAGCAGCAGTTGCTTCAGAGGCTCTTAGATGCATTCTCCGTAAGAGAAGGAAGAAAACAGAAAAGACACTGTGCGTTTTTCAAACGTCTGCATGCTTTAATTGTCAAAACGTACATGACCAGGAGATTGAACCGCAGGAAAAATCCTTGGCAGAACCGGGGGATTCTCTATGGAGAAGCTCTTTGCTCTCCCAGCACTTGCTGCTCTAGTGAGTTGGAGCATACACGCAATTTAAGGGTTAATGTTCTGCGGTCTTTAACAGAACACTTGTACAAAAAAATTCCTAGTAGAGTAAAAGCGCTGTGGTTTTGCAAACCAAGAACACTGGTTGTTAGCACTTACATAAAACATTGGTATGTTTTCAAAACTCACCAATTAGCTGGCAAATACTGTCTTCACTCTCAGATGACGCCAACAGGGGATGTTCCTTGATATCACCCTAAAATATATTGATTTCTGTTAAAAATAGTGACTGAAGAAACCTCTCCAGTCTTTCCCCATAAAACACACATACAACGTTTTATTCATATTAAAAGTTAAGTCAGTAGATTGCATTGATGTTTTTTCTAGCTTCTAGAAGCAATATTAAAGTCTTGATTGTCATCATATAAGATTCTAATTAATGTGTTTAATTTACTACATATATGATGTTGATTTACTACTCTGATGGTTAATATTCAACCCAAATAATATTCAATTAAAACAGAAAGTTTTTCACTTTCTCACAGTACAGATAAAAAGTTTTAAAAATTACGTCCTTACCTCTGATTGACATTCGATTAGTGTCTCCATATTATTGGCATTTAGTGTTTTTGGCTAAAAGAGAGAAAATAAAATTTGGTAAACATCTTTTGGCTCTTGCCTCTAGGAAATGTGAATGAATAAATGTGAGAGGGTCACTCACAGCATCGTGGCTGCTTCTCAACTTCATCAGCGTTGGGGCGGATGGTCCAGGGGTGAATTTCACTCCCATGCGACTTTGACTGTGTCTGCAATGAATCGTGTGGAAAGGGGTCAGGAGGGACACTCGTAGTAGGTTGGCCACTTTCAGTGCCACTTTGCCAAAGCACAGAGTTTGAAACTACACATTTATTTTCTATTTTTTCAATTGCCTTTACTTTGGAATAAATCTATTACGTAGACAAGTTTTCATTTCAAGTCAGCTCTATGTTACCAGATGTCTTAGGCTGTTAAGAACAGCATCTGAACACAATTATTTCAAAATTATTTAAGCCAACTATCTTCACCATTTTAAACGTTGTTATTCATTTATTCCATTCCTTTCAAGAGATAATCCGGATATCAGTTGCATTAACATTTTAAATTAATGTTAATAGTTTTTTGGGAGTGCTCACTGTACGCCAGCAATAGTAATAGGTGCTTTGCATGGATTTTCTCAGCTAATCCAAAAAGGAAAAAAACGTATCCCTGGGACGCTACAATAGTAAACATGAAACGAAGATAACATTTACAGAATCCCTACACCAAAGAGGTGCAGCCTTCACATTGAAGCAAAGCTTTCCGTGTCCTGAGACTTTATAAAGTGAGAGCACATTCCACGGTATAGCTGTTTTCTGTTGCCTATGATCTGAGTGACCTGTGACTTGTCGGGCAGCTTGTAATTTCTAGGCGTGTTAATTTATAGTACTTACCCTTGGAGGGTCTCTAGCCAGAGTTCTTTTACAACCGGTGAGCTGTGGAGAATGGGAGAAACAGCATGACACTCTGCTCCTTCTAGTCCACTGGGAGGGAGAAAGACTGAGCTGGTCTCTCTACACATGCTCTGCATTATAAGCGAGGGGGCGGGCAGGTGGAAATTCAGAATATTACCGAGACCGGAAAGAACATCATGGGCTGTCACACGGACGGAGCCAGCCAGACACTGGAGAGCTCTCACTTCCTCATTCCTTTTAGGGCAGCTCTGTCTTTTTTTTTCCCCTCTTCCATTTCAAAGTAAAAAAATCTGTAAACTAGTAGGAGTGGAAAAGATGACATTCAGCCCACAGGTGAAGGCTGTGATTAATATCACAGGTGGGATGTGTGAACAAGAAATTGTGTTATTCTGGGCATAAACATCACTTTATTTTCTAAAGTGGTAATTTCAAGTGCCTTTATTTACATCCTGTTTGGATGCTGTTTCCCCTCCCATGTGTCATCTGCTCTGTCCACTAGCACCACACATTGATTAGCACTCCTGGATGTGGGACACTGTTACAGAACCAGAAAGAAACCCGAGACAGTCCCTCCCTTGAGGAACGATCACCATCCAAAGCCAGGTTAGTTTCCTTTGGAAGTAGGAAGAAAACTCCCTCAAGTCAGCTGTCAGTTTCTCCTTTCTGTAACTCCTGGTCAAAAAATTAACACTTTACAGTCAGAGCAGCTGTAGTTCTGACACGGAAGGAAAACAAACAAAAAATTCCTTTGATCAGACCAATTTGAAATAGGAAGGAGATGGTGAATTTCATGTGTGGATCTCTCCTTCTGTATAAGAGAATTTCTGATCTTTTCTATAGATCAAAGGCTATATATGAAACCACTCAAATGCCTCAGCACGAGAATGGATGCATAAATGTTGGTCCACTCACATAGGAGATGAATGCTATATAGCACTGAGAATGAGCAGCCTGTGACTATATCAGCAATATGGTTGAATCTCACAATATGATGTTGAGGAAAAGAAGCCAGACATGAAAGTGTATATCCTGCCAGTTCCCATTAATGCAAAGCACAAAACCAGCAAAAGTAGCCTGTGCTGTTGGAAGCAAGAGTAGCAGTTTCCCAGAGGGGATGATAGGGACTTCCAGCGGCCAGGGGTGGGCTGGCTTGGTAGTGGTCCATTCTTGATCTGGGTGGTGCTAGGTATGTGCACATTTCCCTATGTGTGTTGTTTTTCAGTAAAAGTTTTAAAATAACTTGGCTTCATTTATGATCAGCATCTTTAATTTTAAGACTTTTCCATATTGTTAATTCTGTTGTCATTTTACTAAAAGGAGGTGATTATGGGGCAGACTTTGGGAAGTGGAAGCACAAAGAGGTAGAAATTTGCTTTGTAACCCAGCTGCTCAGTGGGGACATAGGGACAGATCCTGGTTTTCAGGCTTCTAGCTGGGCGCTCCCTCTCTTAAAGCCACCACAGTGCCAGAGTTCACCCAGAGTTCCCAAGGCAGCTGTAGAGGCCACCATGCTTTCAGCATCTCTCTCCTGCCTGTATAAACCTCCAAAGTGAACTCACTGATTTCGTTAATTGAAAAAAGGCATTTATGCTGTGCCCAGCCTAGTGCCAGGCATATAGTAGGTACTAAGTAAATAATTTCTGAATATATATATTTCCTTATAAAATAGTCAACATAGAATGTTACTATAATATTCTATATATTGTAGAATGTATACTGTGATGTATAGTCATTGTTAGTATATATTTTCTAAACTTTTTTTTTCCTGACAAATTGACTTTTGAAATTTTTGTAAGAAACTTAATGTGCTTACTGTTCTTTCTTTCTTTCTTTTTTTTTTTTTTTGAGATGGTCTCACACTGTCACCTAGACTGGAGTGCAATGGTGCGATCTCAGCTCACTGCAACCTCCACCTCCTGGGTTCAAGTGATTTTCCTGCCTCCAGAGTAGCTGGGATTACAGGTGGCCCAACACTGCACCCAGCTAATTTTTGTATTTTTTAGTAGAGACGGGGTTTTGCTATCTTGGTCAGGCTGGTCTCAAACTCCTGACCTCGTGATCCACCTGCCGTGGCTTCCCAAAGTGCTGGGATTACAGAAGTGAGCCATTGCTCACTACAATCTCTGCCTCTCAAGTTCATGCAATTCTCCTGCCTCAGCCTCCTGAGTAGCTGGGATTACAAGCATGTGCCACCCTGCCCGGCTAATTTTTGTATTTTCAGTATAGACAGGGTTTTACCATGTTGGCCAGGCTGGTCTCGAACTGCTGACCTCATACAATCCACTTGCCTTGGCCTACCAAAGTGCTGGGATCGCAGGTGTGAGCCACCGCATCCAGCCTCAGCATCTTTTAAAAATACATAACATTAATGGTTTGATGACCGGCAGAAATGGTTATATCGACAGACTTTGCTTTTTCTTCTGGGACCTACCATGCCTAGTTAAGCAATCAGGGAAGGTACTGAGCTATCTAGGATGAAAAGTTAGTAGCAAATATGGCAAAAGAAAAAAGTCAGGGCCCCTATATTTTTTAAAGTGGAAACACGTTTTGGCTCTTCTTATTGACCCAACTGATGGTGGGAAAGCCCAGAGGGAGGTGCCATCCTTTGGGATCCCTGGGAGATTTTGACAGTCAACATCTAATGAACAGGCACATTTTGTGATGGAAGGAAAGCCACCATTGTTGGCTGCTGGTGGGAGGCTGAGGAGACCTTCTCCTTCAGGACGGTGGCCCCACCTCCCTACGGTCCCTACTGTGGAAAGAGTTGTGAAGGGCAGGTGCTGCACCCCAACTCTGAAAAATCTCACAGGAATTTTGATCGTAGTTTTCTGAACAATAGGAGAAACATTTGCAAATACAGTGTGAAATTTGGAAGCAGTCACGTCAAAAGTTAGAAAAAAAAGATGGAAATATCAGTTTCACTTTTCCATATTCTTGTCACCCACACATCTCTTTGAAAAGCAAGCTCGCTTTTCTCCGCATGGTGAGAGTCTTCAAAACATGGGAAGGACCATCACTGGCTTTTGCTGGGTTGGGCTGAAGGGAACCCTGGTGAAATCCACACCTGAAAAGCTGTTTCTCACACTGGGGCTTTTATCACTTGGGTCCTGGTCACAATCAATTTTCCCCAAAGAATTGACTTTGCTTTTCTTGTGGTGAGTCTCTAAGGACAGTGAGTTCTGTTCTGGGGACTGTGGCGTCTGTGCTGTGAACATGTGTGCTTTGTAAGGTTACTGGAAGCACCATAGTTCCTTCCCCCACTTCCAGGCTCAGTGACCACTTCAGTCTGGACTGTTGTGAACCAGAATTTGGAAGTCATTTACCCCACATTGTTTACTCAGCTTGCCTGGGAAACACCAACTGGAGAATCAGAGTCCAGCTCTTTGTCCTGAATTCACTTTCCCTTTCTTTTCCTGGGACCACCCAGTGATTCAGAGCCCTGCATTCTTTAATGAGATTAATGTCAACAGTTTCCTGCATTGAAGATTATTTTCCCAAAGAATTCACGATTTCCTTTAGGACTTCTCCATCACCTCAGTGTCTGGCTACTAATGATTGATCAACAGGTTGATCTACAAAGCTCAAGTTACAATTTCTTTAAAAAAAAGGTAATCCAGCCTTTTCTCTGATTAACTCTTCTCCCGGTCTCCCACTTGTCATATGTTTTAGCCACACAGGCTGTTGTCATCCCCCAAAAGTGTGCTTCTGAGTCTCCAGGCCTTTGATAAATTGTTCCCTCCTCCTGCAACGCCGTTTACCCCATCTGCCTTTTGGAATTCTGCCCTTCCCTCGAAATCTAGCCCAAGTCCCATCTCCGCTGAGAAGGGACTTTTCTAGATTGAATTAAACTCCCTTCCCAAGCCCTGCCTAGCAGCCTCACCCACTAGACTGAGTCTCCAGAAAGCAGGAACACATTTTCATCTTTTATTTTTACGAGTGCCTGGCCTCATAATTTGCACACAGTAGGCATTTGCTATACTTTAATTACTACTAAAATTGTGTGATAAAATAAAACATTTAAATGTCACCATACGTTTGCTGATATTGCAATTTGTTCCTCAGACTTTTTGTCACTTAGTCTCTTGGTTTTGTTTCATGAAGAAAGACTACCTCTTTGTCACACTGTAACAGTGACTTGTTGCAGAATTTGATTGAGATGGAGATATCCTCTCCCTGCCCACACCTCGGGCTTACGCTAATACCAATGTGGACTCGCTAGCTCTGTAGTGAGTGAGGAGGCCCCGCCTTCGGTGGACTTGAGTGGCGGCTTCTGTCCGTGAATCCGTCAGGAGGGCTCGACCACACCTGTCCTGCCTCTCACCTCCCACCCTCCAGGGACCAAAGTCTTACCATTGTTCTCACCTTAGATTTCCTAGTTCTGTCTGCCCTGGGAGGTTTGGATGTCCCCCAAGCCACGTTCCTGTCTAGAGACAGAGGAGGACTTACATTAAAGGACTCAGGGGGCTGAAAGCCACGTTCCTGTCTAGAGACAGAGGAGGACTTACATTAAAGGACTCAGGGGGCTGAGGAGTCGGTGCTCATTTTAAATGACGGTCGTGGATTCAGTAATCTGCAAAGTACCCAGCGTGCTAAGTCTTTTATTCGGTGACTTTGGTTGTAGCAAATTAGCAATAAAACTCTTTGCCTGCCTGTCCTCTAAGAAACTTCTAGGAAAGTCTGTGGGTGGGGAAGATGTGCCTGGAAGAGACATTCTCACCTCTCCCCAGGCCCTGGGCTCATAGATGCAGGCAAGGACTCAGTCCTGGGCTCACAGATGCAGGCAAGGACTCAGTCCTGGGCTCACAGATGCAGGCAAGGACTCAGTCCTGGGCTCACAGATGCAGGCAAGGACTCAGTCTCAGCTACAGTAAATCCAGGGTCATTTTTTTTTTCCTGGCAGGAAAAGCGCTGACTTTCCAAGGAGCTTGTCAGAGGTTTGCTGAGACCCTGTCATCCCTGAAATAATGCCAAGCATCATCACACCTTGCAAAATAATTTGCTGTCTCCACAAATGCCTGCATTTCTGCAGCGGTGGAAGCAGACATTTCAAATCTGCCCCTCAGATCTTTGTGATTATTAATTTACCTTCGTGTTAGAATACAAAATAGGCTCAGCATAAAATAATATTTGAAGAACTCTGTGTTTTCAAAAGCTGGATCAAAAAATAAGAAAGACTAGAACAAAATGTTCTTTTTAAACTGCCTTCTCCACTTATTGAGATCAAGATGAAGAATTAAAAATAAGACA